CCGAGCGCGCTCCTTCGACATTTTCGCCGACCAATCAGAGGGTTGCCGATCAATGTTTCTACTATCGATGCGTAGCCCCTGTTAAACCACCCAGTGATGTCACATTACTTCATCCAGCTATACTAATCGTCAACAACAGGTGTGTTCGGGGAACCGGATTAGCGAGCTCAGAGTTAGCGCGATGATTTGATCTTGGATATAGTAAGCGAGGTACGAAGAACGCACCCCAGCTGTTTGTTTGTATCCACACAAAAGTATAACAACAACAACATTAATAATAATAATAATAATAATAATAATAATAATAATAATAATAATAATAATAATAAATCATCCTTTTTCCCATCCTGACGGGTGGCTCTGAACGCCTCCTGTGTGTGATTGGCTGCTGAGGCTCGTGTCACCGCGGTGGGCGGGTCCTGCTGTAGCTGAAGATGGCTGCTCCGTGCTGGGATCAGCAGGTCTGAAGATAACCGTCTCTGCGGCTCTTTGGTCGGTTTGAGCGGCTGTCTGCGCTCCGTATCCCGGCCGGAGGCTCCTCCGCGGGGTCGGGTCCCGGGACGCCGGTACGTGGCCGCTACACTGCTTGTTAGCATGTTAGATTAGCATCAGCTGCTAACGGAGGGCTAGCAGTGACGTGACAGCAGCTGTTACACAACAGGCGTGAGGTCAAAGTTTGCGCAGTGTTAGGCCAGCACACACTGATTACTGTGTGGGGACAGAAAAAGAAGTAGCAGATAATCATCGATTATTGATTTTGTTCCTCTGTCACAGAGAACTGAACACGATGACGTCAACGTGACCTCACGTGACGTTCAGCTGTCTGGCCTGTGTTATGATGCGTTCACTGTCTGGCCGTATTGCAGGTGTCCGCAATGTCCAGGGAGCAGGCGAGCATCAGCGAGCTCCTGCTCTCACTGGACAGTTCAGAGCTGCAGGAGGCGGAGCGAGTGAGAGCTGCAGTCAACCAGCAGCTGAGTACAGGTGAGTTCAACTGTGCAGCACGAAGGAATGACGCAGGTCTGCATCTCTGTAACGCGCTCACCACGTGAACCAATTACGAAGCTGCAGTTTTGCTGACGTCCAACAAAGCAACCTTATCAACTCAGTCTGACATCACTTGTGACGGCCAATCAGTGCAGAGCTCCCAGCATGCATGTTTCTCCTCTCAGACAAAGGGGGCGCTGTCCTCTCCTCCGTGGTGGAGTACTACCTGGACTCGTCATCTTCTCAGGCCCTGCTCCTCCTCTCCTCCATCAGGGAGCCGCATCACAAAGTGAGCCTCGCCTGCTCGCAGATCTCCTGTTCTTTATCTCTGTGACTCTAACACCTATTGGCCCCGCCCACTAGGTGCTGCTGGAGAAGCTCAACGAGTCTGTGAGTCGATCCGGGACCAGGCTGGGCGCCCTCACCCTGCTGGGTCACCTGATCAGGAAACAGCCGCCATGGGTTCATCACATCAGCCGCTCGCCGCTGCTGCTCTCACTGCTGCGCTGCCTCAAGGTAATACACACACACCTGAGACACACCTGTCCTCCTGCACATTCAGATTCTGTCATGATGTCGATCATGTGAGGTCGGATCACAGGTCGGATTCCTGCTGCTGTAAACTCAGAATTCCACTTCCTGTTTTTCAGACGGACAGCGATGTGGTCGTCCTTATCACGGGAGTCCTGGTCCTGGTCACTCTGTTACCCATGATTCCTCAGGCCGGGAAGCAGCACATCAATGACTTCTTTGACGTGTTTGGGCGCCTTGCATCCCGCAGCTGCAAAAACCCAGGTAACTCACTCACACAGCAGGGGGCGCTGCAGGAAGCAGCTCCTTATGCTTTCTGATTGGTCAGTCTGCTTCTCTGAGTGGTTGATAAGATGTTTTCTGATTGGCTCGTGCAGGTCATGAGCCTGTGGCCCACCTGGTGCACCTCCATGCAGGTACGTACTCTCTGTTCCACCGCCTGTATGGGATGTTCCCCTGTAGCTTCATCTCCTACCTGCGGCTGCACTACAGCATGAAGGAGAACCTGGACACCTTCCAGGAGGTGGTGAAGGTGAGTGCACACCTGCAGGGGGCGGTACTGATGTGATGACCGCAGGTGTTCCTTCAGTTTCACCTCACACTCTGTCCTGTCCCGTCAGCCGATGTTGGAACACGTCCGGGTTCACCCAGAGCTCGTTACAGGCACTCAGGACTACGAACTGGACCCGTCCAGGTGAGTCCAGCTTGGAGACAGAAACCACACCTGAGCGTGCAGAACCAGGTCAGCAGGTCCTTTGACAGAGTGAACCCAGCGCTGAGCTCAACCGAATGCAAATCAACAATAAAGAAAGAAAATAACATCTGATTGAGTTTTCTTAAAGTATCCTGTCCAGCTGAATTCACGTCGCAGAGGTGTGTTTACCGCAGCTCAACATCAAACTTTCCTTTATCTGACGACGAAGCCCGCCACTCGATTCCAGCTAATGACAGGAAGTGATGCGCTCTGATCTGTCAGCAGGTTCAAATAACACGGGCGCACACACGACGTGGCCTCAGAGCAACACATTTCATCTCCAAGTTTGTAACCAGCTTTAAAAAACAGGGACGTCTGCAGCAGCTGTTAGTCTGAGGGAGGTCGGCCAAGCCTGATCAGTGATTTAGGAGATGATAGAAATACACAGCTAAACACACAGATTGGATAAGCAGGGCCTGGAATGAAACCTTGTGCACTTCTTTAGCATCTATCTGAGGATTAAGGAGCGAAACTCTGATCCTGCAGTTCTTCAGGAAGTGAAGACGGCAACATGCAGCTACAAAAGTCTGCTATCCTGAAAACGAAGGAAGTCGCTCAGACGCAGAAGCTACGTGTGACACGACGACTAGCGTACCTGCCGTGATAACTCCACCCTCTCACGCTGATAAGAAAGGCAGTGTAGCCTAGTTACCCGTCACTGCACGGTTTTCTTTGGTTTTCTTATCCTTGCATTCAGCTGGGTATCGCGACTCTGACGTCTCTAACTCCAAACATTTAAAATGACAAGAATACTTTGACTGTTTTCTGTTTGAAATATGTTTTCTCTTCCACTGCTGTCAGCAGGATGTAATATACACTTACTGCCAGAAGGTGGCAGTAAAAGTGACCACCGTTAACTAACAAAATACAACATAGCGATTACTACTCAGAGTGGAAAAACTTGTTCCTGTAGAAACAGGAAAGCAAAGATGACTGCGACCAATGAAAAGGTCCATAAATAATAAACAAAAGCGAGGTAATGCGAGCATGTCGTTTGAGAGTGGCACTCGTCACTACCACGAACATCAGTATCCAAACTGACAGCGTGTCCTCTGAGACGTGACCTGAAGCACAGCATGAACGAAACATGACCTCTGCTGTCCAATCAGAGTAAAGTATGAACTGCAGCGTGACTGAGCGTTTGAACATTGAGTTTCAAACTGCTGCAAATTAAACGGGAGAGTCCGGGTCACCAGAGGTCGGGTTGGGTTAGATTTTAGTAACTTGAAAGACGTGTCATCGTCATATCAGATCTGCACTACCAGTCAGAACTCTGGACACACCTTCTCATTTAGTGGGCTTTCTTCATTGGTGCTACTTTCCACATTGTAGATACAAACTGAAGACATCTGGGATCATGTAGCAGCAGCTCAGATCAGAGCCCAGACAGATGCCACACAGAGCTCCAGTAGCAGACACATCTGTACATGTTCAGAGGAGACTGTGTGAATCAGACCTTTATGGTCAAACAGCTGCTGAGAAACCATGACTAAGGAAAAGCAACAAGAAGAGATTTGTTTGGACCAAGAAACACAACAAATGGACATCAGACCATCTGTGCTGTGGTCTGATGAGTCCAAACCTGAGATCTTTGGTTCCACCTGCCGTGTCTTTGGGGAGAAAAGGTGAACGATGGTCTCCACGTGCATGTTCCCACTGTGAAGCATGGAGGAGGAGGTGTGATGGTGACACTGTTGGGGATTTCTTCCAAACTGAAGGCACACTGACCCAGCATGGCCACCACAGCATCCTGCAGCGACATGCCGTCCCATCATTTATTCTCCAACAGGACCCCAAACACACCTCCAGGCTGTGTGAGGACCAAGAAGGAGAGTGATGGAGGCCTGGCCTCCACAGTCACCTGACCTGAACCCAGTGGAGCTGGTTTGGGATGAGATGGAGCGCAGAGTGAGGGCAAAGGCCCGACAAACGCTCAGC